TATGCTATTCTCTATGCTCTTCGTCTCCTGCTTTCTCATTGTCAATCTTCCTTTGTAGTTGTTGTTGACTCTCGTAGTGCCCTCATGGCTCTCGGGTCCTTTAATCCGGTTCATCCAGTAGTTGTCGATCCAGCATTGGCCGTTTTTTGTTCTCAGTAAATTTAAGTCGGTTGAGTTTTGTTGGGTTCCCAGCCATATTGGTGTCTTTAAATGAGCGTGTGGATGTTGCCACCAGGGAAGCTGTCCGCTCTTGTCCCATCTCTTGTAAAGGTATTCCTTATTCCGACTTTCACCCGGTTATCCATTCCTCCGTCCTTACCCGTTGGCAGGCTTATTAGTCGTCTGTTACTGGTAACAAACTACGTACTCTTAAAAGTTGTGTCCTTGTGGCCGTCCTCCTATCACCGTAACCGGCGATGGGAAACGGCTCTGGCGAGGATGCGTATTGGCCATACTCGCTTAACTCATGGTCACTTGATTGAGCGCCGCCCTGCTCCTTATTGTCCTAATTGCACTGTCCCTCTTACAGTCGTGCATATCCTTGTTGAATGTCCTGACTTCTGGGACGAGCGTGTGTCTTGTTTTCCGACCGTCCCTCGCGGTTGCTTGTCTCTTGATAGTATTCTTGGCGACTCGGATACTTTTGTTACCGTTTGCCTTGTACGTTTCTGTTCTCGTATTGGCATCCTTGGTGATATTTAGCGCTCTCTGATTATCCCGCACATTTGATGGTGCTACATAGCCTTCCCGGTTTGGTGACTTCTTTTGATAATTACTTACTTACTTCTACCTCTCTGTTAATTTTTTTGTTTTAGTTTCTTACCATTTGGGGTTTGTTTTGTTGTGTCTACCTTTTTGGGTGCCTAACCCCAGTCGATGGAAGATAAGGAAAACCCCCAACCACAAGGGGGTTTTCCAGGGCCATTGCTCCCTGAAATCTCTCTGAAGAGGCCAGGTTCTGGCGCTGGTCCCTGGTAGGTCTGAACTCCATAGCTACTGTCCCGGCCTAATATAACATACATTAGCCCGATAAGCTCCAGGGAGCCTCCGGGGCTCGCTCAGAAAATGGCATTTCATTACATTCAACGCTGGTTTTATTGCATGTTATTTTATGGTGCTTTTGGTATCACTGCTCTTCCCTCCTCTCAGATCAGCAGTTTTGTTGTTTATATTATATGTGTTTTGCAATACAGATTGTGAACCTTGGGTTTCTGAGTGTGATGATTGTGTTGCCGCAACTGACTGCCAGGGCGGCGCACCATCCCACAGCTGTGGTTTGTCGGCATCCACTCTTTGAATATGGCAGCCGGGCAGTTGACAGTTTATCTTTCCTTTCCTACTTTTTGGGGTGTTTTTCATTTAATTTAATGTGCCACTGTTCTTTCCGATAACTCAGTCGTTCAATTATGTATGACATGTCTCAGGTGTAATCTATGTTGGTTATGATATGGGTGGGGAGGTACGTGAATTGGTGTATGCTTACCTCATCACTGCCAATGTGTCGTAAGTAGTTTTGGTAAGCTTGTACTCATCTCGTTGTCCTCTTCTAGTTGTGCTTGCAGGGGTTGCATTTCGGCTTTTTGGGCCTGCCTCTCGACCGTCATTCTACTGGTGTGCACATTCCTGGACTTCTTGAGCTCCTGCGTCTCTATGTTCGCATCCTTCACCTCATCACTGCCTCCTGCATTCCCTTTCCTTACTACTCTGCCTCTGAGCAAATTCTTTCCAAAGTCTCTATGGCTCCTTTGGGTACTCAGTTTCCACCTGTGTCTCATTATGGGTGTACCAATCATATTGATTCATCCATCTTTTTTTACCTTGTCCATTTCCCAGAGGAGTTGGGGGTGGTGGTCATGTCTCCCGGTCTTGTGTTCCCGGGGTAGTCTTGTCTTGTGTACGAGATTGTGGTACTTCTGAATATTATTACCTCAGTCTTGTGTACGAGATTGTGGTACTTCTGAATATTATTACCTCAGTCTTGTGTACGAGATTGTGGTACTTCTGAATATTATTACCTCAGTCTTGTGTACGAGATTGTGGTACTTCTGAATATTATTACCTCAGTCTTGTGTACGAGATTGTGGTACTTCTGAATATTATTACCTCAGTCTTGTGCATGAGACTGTGATACTTCTGAATATTATTACCTCAGTCTTGTGCATGAGACTGTGATACTTCTGAATATTATTACTGTACCTCAGTCTTGTGTACGAGACTGTGGTACTTCTGAATATTATTACCTCAGTCTTGTGCACGAGATTGTGGTACTTCTGAATATTATTACCTCAGTCTTGTGCACGAGACTGTGGTACTTCTGAATATTATTACCTCAGTCTTGTGCACGATATTGTGGTACTTCTGAATATTATTACCTCAGTCTTGTGTACGAGATTGTGGTACTTCTGAATATTATTACCTCAGTCTTGTGTACGAGATTGTGGTACTTCTGAATATTATTACCTCAGTCTTGTGTACGAGATTGTGGTACTTCTGAATATTATTACCTCAGTCTTGTGTACGAGATTGTGGTACTTCTGAATATTATTACCTCAGTCTTGTGCACGAGACTGTGGTACTTCTGAATATTATTACCTCAGTCTTGTGTACGAGATTGTGGTACTTCTGAATATTATTACCTCAGTCTTGTGTTCACAGACTGTGGTCATTGGGTTGTTCTCTATATTTTATTATGGGCACCGATTTTATGCCTAGCAACTTTGCTCTGTATTCTCGTCCAGCTCCCCAGCCGATGGTGCTTAGTTTCCTTTCCGTATTCCAGCCGTTTTAGCAGTGGGGGCTCATTTCCTCCCTCCCCCACAAAAAAAAATTGCGTATTATCCGCTGGCAAATGCGGTAGGTAGGACCCCCTTGTTTCGTTTCCACTGGACCTTTGTGTTCCTCAAATTCGTCTTTTTGGAGGTTTTCTTCCTCTCGGCTTCACCCTGTAGAGGTTTGGGAGGCCCTTGGATTATATCTGGTTTACTCGGTTACTCCTGTGTTGGATCTTTGTTTTGTTTGAATTCGGTTCCTCTTACAATGATCATGTGCGTTACAAGGTTCCAGTGTCTTCCTGGCTGGCAGCCTGCCTTGACTGGTTGGTGTGGGCCCCCTGCTGGTCTGCTTGTCTGCTAGGCAGGGTTCTGATTCCTGGTAACTTGGCAGAAGTCCCAGTTGGTTGCGTCCCGGGTTCTTGCTTGGCTGGGCCTAGTAATTACCTAAGTGTAGTTACAGGATGAGAGCTACGCTCGTGGTGTGTGGGGTTCTCGGAGTGCATTCATTTCTCTCCTGTGGCTTTGCTCCGGTTGCGATCCTACCTTCCATTTTTTCGACGCGGACCTGGGTCACTCGGTGGTTGCTCGAGCAGCTGTGCAGGAGCCTGAATTTTGCTCTGCCTGTTGGTTTATCCACTGGGCAGGGTTTGGCTTTGGAGGCTGTTCTGGTATCTTCAGAGCGCCCTCTTTTGCCGCTATTGTGATAGCTGAGTTCGTTCCCTGGTGCCCTTGTGTCAGTTGCTGTGTCTCCGGCTTCCTCATCGGGGTTTGGAGGTTCGATGCCATGGCACTTAACTCTCCCGTCGCTCAATGTGTTCATGGACTCCTCATCACTCGGTTGGGGCTTTGTGACTAATGCTCTCCAGGTCGGCCAGGGGCGTTGGGTGTCATCCTTCCTCTGAGCTCACAGCACGGTGCAGGAGTTTGCGGCTGTGTGGCAGACGCTGCAAAGGATCTGGCTCCATGGTTCCCTGTGGTTCCCCCATAGTTCATTGTCTCAACCGAAGGGGGATGGGGAGGGTCTTTTCGGTCCGTTGCTTGGGTCTGGTTGCTTCCAGTAGCTCTTCAGAGTTTTCAGGGTTTTGCTCTTTGTGCCGTTCACATTCAGGGTGTGTCCAGTGTCCTGGCAGACAATCTGTCGTGCTTCATTCCTCTTTCCACGGAGTGGATGGTTGACGCCGCCTCCTTCCTTTGCTTTTCAGATGTTGACCTGTTCGTGTTGACGTGGTCTCTGTGTCTCCCGTTGTAAGTGTCACTGTTCCCCGACTGCGAGGCCCTCGCAGTAGAGGGTTTTCGGCAGGACTGGTCGAGGTGGGGGGTTCCTGTACCTCTTTCCCCTGATCCAGCTGTTGCTCTGGGTTCTTGCTCGACTGGATTCATATCGGGGAAGAGTGGTTCTCCTGGCTCCATGGTTGCCAGCCCAGCCTTTGTTTCAGGCACTGCTTGCTTGGTGTCTGAACCCGGGTGTTTTTTCGCAGCTCCGCCTCTTTCAGCAGATCGGGCCAGTGAGGTACCTCGCTGGTTAACCCTTACTGCTCTGCACTACGCATTGGATCTTTCTGACACATGTGTATCGCCATTTGTATGGTGATCAAGTGGCTTCTTTGATGGTATCCCACCTGTGGTCTTGTTCTCAGCGACAATATGAAGTTTCTTGGCAGTCTTTCCATCATGTTCTTTGTCTTCAAAGGTTTTCATAGATTTTGGACCTGGTTGTTTTGTCCTTTCTCTCCTGGCTTTTTCTGGATCAGCATCTCGTGCCTAATGATGTCGCTTCTTGTCGCCCAGTGTTGGCGGAGCTGCTGCATCATGTTCATGCTAGTTTTGAGTAAACCATTTGATTTGAATGAATCATTTCAAGAGTTCTTTTTCCAAGAACCTTACAATTGTCTACATGTATATTGCTTCAGTGACTTTCTGGATGTGTTCCTGGGTGAGAGTGTATATAATAATCCCCTGTTGCTTGCACTTTTGTCAGGGAGGGAAAGGTTGTGGCTCATCCTTGGTAGGCCAAACAGGAGTCCTGTGACAGATGTGACCCAGTACTGGGAAGCCATATTAGTGAGAGAGCTTCTGGAAGCTACCTCGACCCTACCAGAAAGACGCATTTCATTACATTCAATGTTTGGTTTTTAAGTTCGATTACGAAATTTTTTAAAAATAAAATATTACGCTTGTAGTTATGACGGTTTCACACAAATAACCAGCTCTATAATTAATTCATTACAGGAATGTTTTCTATTGCATTTGCTGTAGTAGCAGTGAGCAGCGATAGTTCAGCTATTAAGGAAGGGGGATTCTTCCAGGGTTACTCCTTTGCCACCTGGATGGTAGTACTTATACAGGTCAGTGGACAAAATGACTCTAAATGATTTTAAATAAATATAGCTTCTGTAACGTGCATTATGTACTTGCATTTTTATATACTGTATGCTGTTGCCTTATGTACATTACGAAACATATGACCTTACAGGAAATAATTGTCTATATAGGCCTATATATGACAAATAGTTATTGCCCAGTTTATTTAATAGTATAAAGAGGCTGAGCTCAGAGAAAAAATATTAAGATAAATGAAAGGGGTTGTGGGTTCTGGCTTGAAGGGTGGACTGAGGGTTCTGGCTCAAGGGGGGTGGACTGTGGGTTCTGGCTTGAAGGGTGGACTGAGGGTTCTGGCTCAAGGGGGGTGGACTGTGGGTTCTGGCTCAAGGGGGGTGGACTGTGGGTTCTGGCTCAAGGGGGGTGGACTGTGGGTTCTGGCTTGAAGGGTTGACTGAGGGTTCTGGCTCAAGGGGGGTGGACTGTGGGTTCTGGCTCAAGGGGGGTGGACTGTGGGTTCTGGCTCAAGGGGGGGTGGACTGTGGGTTCTGGCTTGAAGGGTGGACTGAGGGTTCTGGCTCAAGGGGGGTGGACTGTGGGTTCTGGCTCAAGGGGGGGTGGACTGTGGGTTCTGGCTCAAGGGGGGTGGACTGTGGGTTCTGGCTCAAGGGGGGTGGACTGTGGGTTCTGGCTCAAGCGGGGGTGGACTGTGGGTTCTGGCTCAAGGGGGGTGGACTGTGGGTTCTGGCTCAAGGGGGGTGGACTGTGGGTTCTGGCTCAAGCGGGGGTGGACTGTGGGTTCTGGCTCAAGCGGGGGTGGACTGTGGGTTCTGGCTCAAGGGGGGGTGGACTGTGGGTTCTGGCTCAAGCGGGGGTGGACTGAGGGTTCTGGCTCAAGGGGTGGACTGTGGGTTCTGGCTCAAGGGGGTGGACTGTGGGTTCTGGCTCAAGGGGGGTGGACTGTGGGTTCTGGCTCAAGGGGGGTGGACTGTGGGTTCTGGCTCAAGGGGGTGGACTGTGAGTTCTGGCTCAAGGGGGGTGGACTGTGGGTTCTGGCTCAAGGGGGGTGGACTGTGGGTTCTGGCTCAAGGGGGGTGGACTGTGGGTTCTGGCTCAAGGGGGTGGACTGTGAGTTCTGGCTCAAGGGGGGTGGACTGTGAGTTCTGGCTCAAGGGGGGTGGACTGTGGGTTCTGGCTCAAGGGGGGTGGACTGTGGGTTCTGGCTCAAGGGGGGTGGACTGTGGGTTCTGGCTCAAGCGGGGGTGGACTGTGGGTTCTGGCTCAAGCGGGGGTGGACTGTGGGTTCTGGCTCAAGGGGGGTGGACTGTGGGTTCTGGCTCAAGCGGGGGTGGACTGAGGGTTCTGGCTCAAGGGGTGGACTGTGGGTTCTGGCTCAAGGGGGGTGGACTGTGGGTTCTGGCTCAAGGGGGGTGGACTGTGGGTTCTGGCTCAAGGGGGGTGGACTGTGGGTTCTGGCTCAAGGGGGTGGACTGTGAGTTCTGGCTCAAGGGGGGTGGACTGTGGGTTCTGGCTCAAGGGGGGTGGACTGTGGGTTCTGGCTCAAGGGGGTGGACTGTGGGTTCTGGCTCAAGGGGGTGGACTGTGAGTTCTGGCTCAAGGGGGGTGGACTGTGAGTTCTGGCTCAAGGGGGGTGGACTGTGGGTTCTGGCTCAAGGGGGGTGGACTGTGGGTTCTGGCTCAAGGGGGGTGGACTGTGGGTTCTGGCTCAAGGGGGTGGACTGTGGGTTCTGGCTCAAGGGGGGTGGTGGACTGAAGGTTCTGGCTCAAGGGGGGTGGTGGACTGAAGGTTCTGGCTCAAGGGGGGTGGACTGGGGTTCTGGCTCAAGGGGGGGAGGACTGAAGGTTCTGGCTCAAGGGGGGTGGACTGAAGGTTCTGGCTCAAGGGCCAGAAACCAGTATAGAAGGTTAACGTTTGCTCACAACTCATTGATGTCTTTTGATTGATATTTATGTGCCAACTCTTTAACATCAATAACAGTGATGAAGAATTTGTTCAATGTCTTTGCTGCTTTTCGAATTTTATTCTTGAAGATTAAAATTTGGTTTCGTCCTTTGCTGAAAAATTTTGCTTGTTTAGTTATGGCAATTAACCCTTAGACCGAGCATATTTCCGCACATATTGGGGACCTTATTGTGAAATATATTTGAATTATGTAAAAAAACTTAAAAATGTTAAACAAATCTCCAACTTATTGGCTTCAGTGTCCTGAAACTTTCATCAAATTATTTCCAAAAAATTATTTTAGACGAATTTTTAAAAAATAAGAACGTTTTGTTGATAAGGAGAACATCTCCTAATAACTGGAACTGAAGGATTATGCAGTAATAAAGAGATGCAAGCACCTGTCCGACACTCAAAGAAGAAGAACAGTAGTAAGAAGTGTCCACAAAGTGGCTATACAGCTGGTGCTTCTATATCATTGCTGAGTAATACATAATAACACAAATAATAATGAGTAACTATGCTATTATGCTCTATTTTGTTATAGATCATATAAATACATTGTCCAGTGTTAGTATATGTTACTTTCATCAATGTCCCAAAAATATTTTTTTTTAGGGGAATTTTTTTTTTTTTTTAAGATTTTAGTTATTTTTTCTCCTTTGTTTATTACCTGATTCTGTTGTAACCCTAACATCCTGGAGAATGCTTATATTTCCCTAACTATGTGAAGACAGTGAAATTGGTCGACAAATAAGTCGGTCACAACTGACAAAACTTGGGACTTTTAATTTTTTTGGCTGATATTTTATCTTTTTTTTTAAACTCTTTTCTTTGTCTCTTTAGGTTGTTTTGATGATTAGGGACCAAATTAGGGCTTTTTCATTTATATAAAGTATACCCTAAATATATCCCCTAAATCATTATAATTATCCCTATATTTTGTGTTTTTTGGGGTTATTATTCCTTGATGTCATTTCAACACATATTGACCGACAACTTTCACATATTCGAGTACGAATGCCAAACAATGTTTATTAAAACTTACAATTATATTAGCAAATTAAAACTACCTTTATTCATTGTTGATAACTTCAACTTCAATTATCTCTGAAAATAGTGTGTCATCTTTGAGTGCTTCTAAAATTCTAGTTTTTTACCGATTGTCACTATTTTGACATATTGTGTGCTCAGCTGTCTTTTCTACAATCCCATCAGAATGGATTTTCCATAAACTTTATACATTTGGAGTTATAATTTTTTTTTCTAAATTTGCCACATATTGTCTCCACTCGATTATCCGGACTATATGGGAATAACCCCCAGCCGGATAATCACGTATTCCGGATAATAGTACTTTTTCACATATGAGTCCAAAAGGGACCATTTCCAACAATTTTTATACCACACTCTTGATTTGAATTATCACACTAATTAGTGTGTGGGGCTGGGTGGGTGGTTAGCTGCCTAGCTGGTAGGTGGGCAGGGAAAGTGGGTGTGCAGGCAGGAATAGGTGGGTTTTGGATGAGTGGATGGCAGGCAGATGGGCTTGGTGGATGAACAGGTTCGAGCAGGCAAGTGGGTGAGCAGGCAGGTGGGTGAACAGGTGGGTAGGTGGATTTGGCAGGTAGGTGGGTGGGCAGGTAGGTGGGTGAACAGGTGGTTGGGTGGACAAGTGTTCAGGTGGGTGGGTGGGCAAGCAGGCAGATGGGTGAACAGGTGGGTGGGTGGGCAAGCAGGCAGATGGGTGAACAGGTAGCTGGGTGGGCTATCAGGCAGGTAGGTGAACAGATGGGTGGATAGATTGGCAGGTGGATGGGTAGGGAAGTGGGCGAACAGGTGGGTGAGTTGGCAACACTGAAACAGACACAGATGACGTGTGTGATCTCCTGCCTGGTCACCCCCCCCCCCCCACCTCACGCCAGCCTTCCCATCTCCCCTCCACAAGTGTCGACACGTGGGTGTTGACACGCTGTACGATGACTTTAACATATGCGCCTTAAGTTCTGTTAAATCCTATTTTATTTTATTGTAAGTATTTAAATGAATAAATAGCAAATCAAATACTGTACTGTACTGTTCAACTATTATAGTGTTATTTAATTAATATTTGTAACTAGCTCTCCACAGCAATAAGAAGACAATATAATTCTTGCAACACCGCCAACTCCACCTTCCTTTGTTAGGCTTAACGCGAGTCACACACACACACAACAGTTCTTCCTTCCTCCGTGACCAACTCCCTTCCTCCGTGACCAACTCCCTTCCTCCGTGACCAACTCCCTTCCTCCGTGACCAACTCCCTTCCTCCGTGACCAACTCCCTTCCTCCGTGACCAACTCCCTTCCTCCGTGACCAACTCCCTTCCTCCGTGACCACCTCCCTTCCTCCGTGACCAACTCCCTTCCTCCGTGACCAACTCCCTTCCTCCGTGACCAACTCCCTTCCTCCGTGACCACCTCCCTTCCTCCGTGACCACCTCCCTTCCTCCGTGACCAACTCCCTTCCTCCGTGACCAACTCCCTTCCTCCGTGACCAACTCCCTTCCTCCGTGACCAACTCCCTTCCTCCGTGACCAACTCCCTTCCTCCGTGACCAACTCCCTTCCTCCGTGACCAACTCCCTTCCTCCGTGACCAACTCCCTTCCTCCGTGACCACCTCCCTCCCTCCGTGACCAACTCCCTCCCTCCGTGACCAACTCCCTCCCTCCGTGACCAACTCCCTCCCTCCGTGACCAACTCCCTCCCTCCGTGACCAACTCCCTCCCTCCGTGACCAACTCCCTCCCTCCGTGACCAACTCCCTCCCTCCGTGACCAACTCCCTCCCTCCGTGACCAACTCCCTCCCTCCGTGACCAACTCCCTCCCTCCGTGACCAACTCCCTCCCTCCCTCACCAACTCCCTCCCTCCCTCACCAACTCCCTCCCTCCCTCACCAACTCCCTCCCTCCCTCAACAACTCCCTCCCTCCCTCACCAACTCCCTTCCTCCCTCACCAACTCCCTTCCTCCCTCACCAACTCCCTTCCTCCCTCACCAACTCCCTCCCTGACATTATCCCCCAGGTGGTCCCTCCCAACGCTCCCCTCTCCCCCGACACCACCCACCCACTCTACCCCCTCCTACACCACGCGGCTGAACGGCTGCAAGTTAACCGGCTTCGATTTTTTATCCGGCTCCCATGGACATTTTGGCCGGATATTGAGAACATTTTCCCGGTCACGATTTTGGCTGTATAAGGGCGTTTTCTGAATATTCGAATCCTGGATAATCGAGTGTCTACAGTATTTCAAATACCTTATTGACGATTTTTTTTACATTACTATACTGGAAACCTATATTCTAATTTGATGAAAATGAAGATCATATGCTATTCTGAGAGAATAACAACATTAAATGAATAATTGGTGATCGTTCATATTTGTTATTCTGAATTGAAAATCTGAGGTTTTGAATATTCAATTTTAAAATTAATTTTGATTTTCTTGTTTTTCAAGTTATGCTGTAAACATTTATACAAAGTTGGAACATTTTTGCCTAGTTGATTAAGCAAAAAAAAAAAAAAAAATACTGGAAAGTGTTTGTGCAAGTTTTAAAAACTTATCTAAAATTATTTTATGTCAAATCATATATGTATGTATTGTGCTGTTGAAGGGTTAATGAAAGAATTGTCACATGTTTGCGTGCAAAAAAAAGATGTATATAATATTCACTAGATGTATTAATAAAAATATGTATGAAATGGTAGTGTACAGTTCAGTAATTGAGAATGATAACTTGTGGAAATAACGTTAAAAAGAAAATGTATAATTTAAACATTATTGACAAAGTACCAAGTATGTACTGCTCTGCTACTTTATAGTAAATAAAGGTGATGTAGAAAAGCTGTTGTATGGGTATTGTTACCTTGAAGCACTTCAAGGTAACAATACCCATACAACAGCTTTTCTACATCACCTTTATTTACTATAAAGGTGATGTAGAAAAGCTGTTGTATGGGTATTGTTACCTTGAAGCACTTCAAGGTAACAATACCCATACAACAGCTTTTCTACATCACCTTTATTTACTATAAAGGTGATGTAGAAAAGCTGTTGTATGGGTATTGTTACCTTGAAGCACTTCAAGGTAACAATACCCATACAACAGCTTTTCTACATCACCTTTATTTACTATAAAGTAGCAGAGCAGTACATACTTGGTACTTTGTCAATAATGTTTAAATTGCAGTTGTTACTGCAATTTTAAACTTGGTTGCCGTTAAATATTTATCTAATGTAAATATTATTTCAGGCATTTGGTGGGCTGGTAGTGTCTGTGGCAATGAAGTATGCCGACAACATCCTGAAGGGATTTGCTACATCATTGTCTATTGTAATGTCTACTCTGGTCTCGTGGCTGGTCCTAGGAGATGCTGCTCCGTCCACACAGTTTGTCATTGGAGCGTCGATTGTTATATCATCAACGGTACTATACGGTTTAACCCCTCAGAAAGAGGGCAGGTATGCTTCAAGTGCTCAACTAACATCTATCAACAGTTCTCATAAGGTGTAAGACATGTGTTGTTTGGTAGCTTGCTTCCAATATCTAACTGTACAGCTTCACATATTAATGGTGGTTTAATGTGGCAGTTATCCGGGCAAGGTATTTGTTCTTTATCATTGTACAGTATTATATACCTCATGTGTATTACTTAAGTTATATAATAACTTAGTGCTTATTAACCATTGAGTCAGGATGAGTACTAACATGTCTGAAATGATTATCTGAAAGTATTTATTGCTTTTAAGTTTTTTGGGTTTAGTAGAAATAGATGTTATAGCTATTAAGCAACTAACAAATTATACAGGAGAGAGAAGAATGAGAAGGTGGTATATACTGTTCGCAAATTTGAAGAAAGCATTTCAGCAGGGTTCTGCATGATGAACTTTTACGGAAATGTTAACATTCGGTAAAGGATGCTTGTAGCATGGGTGAACGATTTTCTTGGATGCTGGCCGTAATACTGTACTGTGGAGTGATGTGGGCCACAGAACTATGGACTTCTTATGGCAGCTATTTTGCTGCACTGGTGAAGCTTGAGTGCTTTATTAAAATCCAGCAGGCTTTGTTAGCGAGTTCTTTCGAGTGTCTGCTGAGGAAGAATGGAGACCAACGCTGTCTGTGGTCTCCTTGTGGTAAACATATTTACGCCTTCTGCTCTATAATAAAAATGATATTTGACAACTGAATCTTCCCGATCTCAGCCTCTGGGAAGTCATATGTCCTGTCCAGGAACATGTTACTTCCCAGTGTGAATACAATACATGTTGGATGTTAACCCATGGTGCTTCGACTTGACAAAATCAAAGTTACTCTTTTGAAACCCTAATGGTCTACTACATTGTGGTAATTATGATCCTGCATATTCACGGTACTTTGCTCACTATAAAATACAAATTTTGTCCATGTTGTTGCTTCAGAGACCTTGACTGAGTCACCACCCCCTACCTTTCTGCAGTCTGCTGCTGAGTGTCTCCCACACATCGTAGAGAGGGACATGGATTCCTGACATCCATGTCCCTCTCAGTCCTTTTTCATGAACAAGGGGAAAAGGACAAACTATACTCAAAGAAACAATGAACCCAATTGTTACAGGCCTCGGGGTAAAGGGTAATACCCACCCAACAGGCGGCAGAATGAGAGTACAAATGCCATCATTTTGTAGCAAACCAGATATCACTCAATGTCATGAGTAGCAAATGCAGGCTCAGCAGGTCAATTCATAATGAGCAACACTGAAAACCTGCAGAGCTTGCCAGGGCCAGAAGGTAAGGACCAAGCAGGACATCCCAGACACTAGGAAAACTTCCCTCCTAAAAAACAACTAGCACAACCTCAGGATAAGCACAACTATGGAAGGCATCAGCAGCTTGTTGTATGTACAAGCACGTGAACTCTAGTGCCTCATTTAATCAACAATCCTCAGAATTTCTCTTAACCTCAGAGTCTTACAGAGGAGTGAGTGACACTTGCGCTACTCAGGGCAAGGCAACCTACACAACAGGAAGCCCTTTACAGGGACGAACTCCTGAACCCCACTAGGGATGTCGCCTTGTCAGGGCAGAGACGGCACTAGACGAGAGCTTAGGGTAGGGCTTCCCTAAACACACACAGCTTGAAGCGAGTGATTACCAAAGTTCACGCAACAAGTGTGGCATGTAAACACATGCACGTTCTTGTGGGAGGGTTGAGGGCTGGGGAGCTCCAATGTTTTTTAAATTTTGCTGGGGTAAATAGGAAATATCAGAATGAAAAGTGCATAAACATGTATGAATACCTGCCAAACAGATGGAAGCCAAAACAAAGTTGCAGAAACAGTGTTTTTGAAGAAAATAGTGAGGGAGCATGTGGTGACCAAAACAAAGATGGCTGCCGGCATGAAGAACTAAGCAGAAGAGAAATTAATTTTGGTGGTTTTTGACGAGGAAAATATTAACAGGAGTGGCTTTCACAACAGGTTGGCAAAAATAGCAATCATTGTAAAGAATCACGTGGAAAGAGTCACACATTTGAGCAGCAGTAATGAAAGCATAAGAAGCAAAGTTACAACTTTGGTCATATAAGGGAATTATGCAAATATAAGAATCACTAGGAAACTATAGGAAAAGTCCTGGAGGAGGAAAATAAAGTATTCAAGATAGCTCTTGGAAGTTAAATCAAATCCAGATGGTAGTGAGTTCACTAGGTTAGGCAAGGAAATTCAGCATGGAAAAGAGGCTTCATTAGAAAGGCTAGAAATGGTTACACAGGATATAGGAAAGTGCAAGGAGGATATGCTGCTAACCCCCATGCACAAGTGGCCAGAGAGACAGTAATATTAAGAGCAGTTAAGGAAGTGACCAAGCAACAGATGTGGCCAGAGAAAGTAATATGAAAAGCAGTTAAGGAAGTGACCAAGCAACAGATGTGGCCAGAGAAAGTAATATTAAAAGCAGTTAAGGAAGTGACCAAGCAACAGATGTGGCCAGAGAGAGTAATATTAAGAGCAGTTAAGGAAGTGACCAAGCAACAGGTGTGGCCAGAGAGAGTAATATTAAAAGCAGTTAAGGAAGTGAACAAGAAACAGATGTGGCCAGAGTGAAAGTAATATTAAGAGCAGTTAAGGAAGTGACCAAGCAACAGGTGTGGCCAGAGTGAAAGTAATATTAAGAGCAGTTAAGGAAGTGACCAAGCAACAGATGTGGCCAGAGAGATAGTAATATTAAGAGCAGTTAAGGAAGTGACCAAGCAACAGGTGTGGCCAGAGAGACAGTAATATTACGAGCAGTTAAGGAAGTGACCAAGCAACAGGTGTGGCCAGAGAGAGTAATATTAAAAGCAGTTAAGGAAGTGAACAAGCAACAGATGTGGACAGAGAGAGTAATATTAAGAGCAGTTGAGGAAGAGACCAAGCAACAGGTGTGGCCAGAGTGAAAGTAATATTAAGAGCAGTTAAGGAAGTGACCAAGCAACAGGTGTGGCCAGAGAGAGTAGAGCAGTTAAGGAAGTGACCAAGCAACAGATGTGGCCAGAGAGACAGTAATATTACGAGCAGTTAAGGAAGTGACCAAGCAACAGGTGTGGCCAGAGTGAAAGTAATATTAAGAGCAGTTAAGGAAGTGACCAAGCAACAGGTGTGGCCAGAGTGAAAGTAATATTAAGAGCAGTTAAAGAAGTGACCAAGCAACAGGTGTGGCCAGAGTGAAAGTAATATTAAGAGCAGTTAAGGAAGTGACCAAGCAACAGGTGTGGCCAGAGTGAAAGTAATATTAAGAGCAGTTAAGGAAGTAACCAAGCAACAGGTGTGGCCAGAGTGAAAGTAATATTAAGAGCAGTTAAGGAAGTAACCAAGCAACAGGTGTGGCCAGAGAGAAAGTAATATTAAGAGCAGTTAAGGAAGTAACCAAGCAACAGGTGTGGCCAGAGAAAAAGTAATATTACGAGCAGTTAAGGAAGTGACCAAGCAACAGGTGTGGCCAGAGAGAAAGTAATATTAAGAGCAGTTAAGGTAGGGACCATGCAACAGATGTGGCCAGAGAGACAGTAATATTAAGAGCAGTTAAGGAAGGGACCAAGCAACAGATGTGGCCAGAGAGACAGTAATATTAAGAGCAGTTAAGGAAGGGACCAAGCAACAATATGAATCTACAAGACCTTGACCAACATGTTTCAGCAAAGAGCCAACACAAAGTGCAACACTACAGATAAACCAGCACAACCCAACAAAGCATGAACTGGGAATGTCAATATTATGCCCGGTGTGCATGTAAATATGGGCTATCAGGAAGAGCTAATGGAACATGTAAATATAAACACCCGAGAAACTGCAGAAATATCCTAAATACTGCTGCTCTGCTGCTATGCTGCTCTGAAAATTGCAAATTTTTCCATCCAAAATTGTGTAAAAGTTGACTATACAAGAAGGAATATTTTAAGAGATTGCTCAGCATTTCATATCAAAGGAACCAAGTGAATAAATCAAGAGTGCAATTATGAATTATGAAATTATACATACTAGTGGCATTATTTAGTATGAGAAAGGAAAAGAATGGCAAGAAATGTCCAAACTCTACCATCAACTAGGTCTAATACTAGACAGGATGCAAAGTGTAACACCCCTTCCACAACCACAGATATTAACACCAAGTTAATACCCAGCACTTCCACAAATATGATAACATCTTTCTTATTCGCCAACATTTAAGACATCGAAACATGCAAAACAAAGTCCGCTTTCTAACTGGTCTCCTAAATGAGGCAGATGCACGTTTGCAGCTTTGACTGAAACCACACAAAGGACTATCATGACAAGGAGATACCAGAATTCAATCTTTTCAGATGGGATAGAAACCATAGGCTACAGGGGTGGGGTCAGCCTGTACATCGGACACACACACACACACAGCTGCTAAACAACACAAATGATATGGTGGAAGTGCTCATACACAAAATAGAAATTCTAAATGTGGTGATTATCCTTATGTGTAAATCACCAGATGCAAATCCTCAGCAGTTAAAGGCTAACGTATGAAAATAAAATACTGCTTGGAAAACCTCACAAATCCTGCCCCAAACATTATCTGGTTTGGCAACGTCAAATTATGGTACTTAAAATGGAAAAATGTGGCAAATACAGTTATACCTGAGAGAATCCCAGGAAGCAGTTTAAGTAAACAGTCACACACAGCTGACTTTTTGCAGATGTGTGACATATTTGCCTTAAACCAGGAAACAGTAGAACCAACTAGGAAAGAACACTCCTAAGATCATATTTTTACAAACAATGATGAACTGGGAGCCGAGTCGGCCGAGCAGACAGCACGCTGGAATTGTGATCCTGTGGTCCTGGGTTCTATCCCAGGCGCCGGCAAGAAACAATGGGCAGAGTTTCTTTCACCCTATGCTCCTGTTACCTAGCAGTAAAATAGGTACCTGGGTGTTAGTCAGCTGTCACGGGCTGCTTCCTGGGGGTGGAGGCCTGGTCGAGGACCGGACCGCGGGAACACTAAAGCCCCGAAATCATCTCAAG